TCTGGGTTTTAAGGTGGACTTCTGGGTTTTAAGGTGGACATCTAGGTTTAAGGTGGACGTCTGGGTGTTAAGGTGGACATCTGGGGTTTAAGGTGGACGTCTGGGTTTTAAGGTGGATGTCTGGGTGTTAAGGTGGACTTGTGGGTTTAAGGTGGACGTCTGGGTTTTAAGGTGGACATTTTGGTTTAATGTGGACGTCTGGGTTTAAGGTGGACGTCTGGGTTTAAGGTGGATGTGCGGGTTTGTGTTCAGGTTTTTTTGTAATGCTGCAGATTGAAGAGCTGAATCTGTCTCTGATGATGTTTCTCATGTAACCGGCTCTTTCCATGGATTTGTGGATGTTTGTCAGAAAATAAAAATAAAAACGATGAAGCAAAAGACTTGAGATCAACTGTCATCGTGTCTTCTGCTCAGTTTCACATCTGACTTCAGTGACAACAGACGGACTGAGAGCTGCCTGACTGCAGACGTTCAAGCAGAAAATCTGAAATAATCTAAAGTTCTCACCTCAAAACTAAAGAAGAAATATTTCACATTCTACCTCTCGATCCCAAAACTGTAAATCTAAAAAAGTGTCCATCTCAAAAATCTGTATTTTGAAGCAGTAGTTTATTTGAAAAAAAAAATAATGTCTGACCATAAAATTAGAGTGTTATTGTATTTAAATCAGCAAAAATATAATTATTTTATACATGTTTTCTATGTTTTGAAAGACAAAAGTATTTATTCAGGAATTAAAAATGTTAAATAATTTTTAACTCTGATTCTACAGATTTGTTCCAATTTGTTAAATTATAATTATAATTATAATTTATCCTTTTACAGTGTTTGATTTAAAGTTAAACTTTTTTATTGCATTAAAATCCCAAAAATATTATTAATTTACAGATATTTACCAATATTTGAAAGATTTTTTTTTTCTTTAAGGATCAAAGAATGGTGAACAATATCAAACTGTTATTTTACAGATTTTCTCAGTTGTGTTAATTTACAGATCATAACTAGTAAAATCATCACAAAAAAGTAGATTTTAAATAATGTCCACACAAAAAAATCAGTAGTTTTACAAATAATCACTTGTTCTTTTACAATGTGTGAGTTTAAAACGTCACTTCCAGCACTGCTGTTCTGCAGGCAAAGTCAAAGTTTAGACCGATTAAAAGTGAGAAGACGTGAAATCAAGTTTGTGACACTTAATGTAAAATCAAGGAGATATTAATTCACTGTTGACTTTTTTCTAAAAGTCACAATAATGATTCTAATCGATTGTATTCAAC